CATGGACTGACGGACAGAACGCACAGACCGCTGAAGATCCACAAAGTGCATCCTCCAGGGAGGCAGCCCCGTGGGTCACGGAGAGCAATCGGGAGGCCGGAGCTGCCTCTGCTGCAGGAGCCGGATGCTGTGACCACAGGAGTGTTCGGTAAGCACCGAGTTTGTTTGAGCAGAAGATGAGGAAGAGTGAAAAGATCGATCAGGCCCAGATCGGGGAGCGTTAGGGTCCAGACAGAACAGGACAAGAGCAGCTCTGATGGTTTCTAGAATCAGGCTCCTTGTTTTAAAGATGGGGCCGTGATGGTTCACAGGTATCAGCTGGGACTCCGCACTCAAAGAGTGGCTTTGGGGCCAAGGCAATCGAGGCACCCTGCAGCCTCGGTCTGAGGTGTGCGTCCTCCGCGTGTGTGTTTGTGTGCTCAGGCTGCCTGGGCACAACACCAGAGCTGTGCGGCTCACACAACAGACACTTAACTGTCTCCTAGTTCTGGAGGCTGGAAGTCCGAGATCAAGGCGCCAGCCACCTCGGTTTCTGGGGGGAGGTCTCTTCCGGGCTGGTAGACACAGCCACCTTCCTGCTGTGTCCTCTCACGGTGGAGAGATGGAGTGTCTTCTAAGGACACTAACGCTGTCAGATCGGCGGCCCCCAGCAGTTATGACCTCATTTAACCTTCATTCATTATGGCCACACTGGGGGGCTAGGGCTTCAGCATATGAATGGGGGGCACAAACACTGGGCAAATACAGGGTTCGGATACACTGCGTCTCCCCCAGCATATCGTGTATCTGCTCTGTTGTCCCCCCGACAGCTGGCACAGCGCTCGGCCCCCAGTGAGAACGTGGACGGGCAGGGAGGGAGAGGAAACTGCTATATGCCGCCAGTCACCGCTCGAGGTGCTGGGGAGGTGGGCTGGGCTGGGTGAGAGACCACCACCCCGGGCAGGAGCTGAGCACAGGCGTCATCAGATCTCTTCCCCTAGGAGACCCTGGAGAGAGAAGGATCCTCGTCTTCAGAAGAAACAGAACGGGGAGAGGGGGTCAGGGGCTGGCAGAGGAAGGGAGACGAGGGCAGGCGGGAGGGACGATGGAGCAGTGA